CTGAACACCCTATATACCCTTTCCTAAAATACAAAAAAAAAAAAGAAGAAAAAAAAATGCACCCTTTCACCACATCTAATACCTCAGGAGATACAATGAGAACCAGTTCGTCAGGCCTACACTTTATAGGGGCTGAATTAAGGAAGTGAGAACTATCCCAGAATCAAGAATCTGGGAGTCGTTATAGCCAATTACAGACTGTCACTTTCCCCTGAAAAAGGAAGAGAAAGCTCATCTACTTAAAGAAGTACTAGCAAACCTATGGTATGCTTGTCACAGTGGGCTGTTGTTATCATTGAAAGTTCTAAAGGGTTCTCCATCAATAAATTAAGGTATGCATTTTGTAGTAAAAAACATATATATGTATATACAAAATAGTTAAGATAGATATACAGCTACTTTCTCTTAGTTCAATGAGAAGAAAGATTTGTACTAATATTGTTTTGACAAGAGATCATGTCTGCATCTTGTACTGTGAACAACTACTACGAAGAAAATAACATGCAATGTATTAATTATTGTAACTGTCCTACCAACCTCTTTTGAAACTGTCTCATTGCTATTTCTCATTAATTAAAAAAATAAATTAACTAAAGTATGCAAAATATCCCTGGAAAGAGAACGAGAAGGTCGCTGGATTCCTATCCCTTGGAATGTAAATAAATATTTGGAGGCAAGTAAATGAGTTTTACTGGGTTTATAATATTGGCATTGTCTCTAAGGCTCTGAGTTTTATATGACTCTAAAATAGAGATACAGGCCTCCCGGAAAACCTCATGTTATCTTTTAACTTCTAAGGCTTATCCTTTAACCCAGATTTTGGTTTTCAAACTCCAGACAATGAAGAAACATGAAAATATTTACTTCTTAGAATCACAAATTAACACTAACCAAACATTTAATATTTACAGTGCTAACACCTGATTCCTTTTAAAAATAGTAGTATTCAAATCCTTTGTGCAAAGCCCTCAGAGGGCCCCAAAGCTTCTCTGGTGATAGTGGAAGGGGGAGGGTAAAGTAGGTGAACACAGTCACCCCAAACCTGCTTTAAACACAGCTTCATGTGCTTTTATGAACTCAGCTTCCAAGTATAGTTTTTGAAGATAAGGTTTTATTTGGGGGGGGAACCCAAAAAACAGAAAACACATACAAAAATAAACTTTAAAATCAAAAGAAACACCAAAAAAGTCTTAGAGACAAGGTCCCATTTACACTTATATTTAAATTTTTTTGTCTTAGTACTCTTTATTAGAGAGTTAAGTTAGGTAGAAATATTATAGGAATCCAGAAAGGGCTAGGCCCTCAAGGAAGTCAATACAGAAGATGAACCACTTACAACTGTGGTTGGAGGTGCATCTGTTGAAGGCCAGGTCTCAAGATAAAGATGCAATGACCAGCCCTATGTGCCTCCACCAGGGATAAGCAATAACTTGAGATTATGCTATCATTGGTGCCACCTGCTTCAGTGAAGTCCAGATAGACACCAGTTACCCAAGTGGATGACCACAGCATTCAGACCCATTCCTTCCCCCAAAAGCGTTTTTCTTTCCATGCACCCTTGCTACGTGCTCTGCTTTTCTATTAGATCAATACCAGCCAACTGACTGCTTGTAATCTTATTGGTTAATCATTGCTTGACCCACCTTGTACCCTCCTTGTGATTTTGTACCCACCCTGTGATTTTGCTCTTTAAAACATTCTTAGAGAAATAGCCCCATTGGCAACCCTGTCTAGGAGCTGTCTCTCTTAATACATTTTTTGTACTGTTAACCTCTACTGTTCTTTATAACTCATTCTGCAATTTCAGGGGACATGAACTCAGTGTATCTGACACCTAGCATGTTGGGAGTTATATTTTCTCCTATAGCATTGTTACTTGCTTTAACATGCATCTTTTAAAGCACAACACCACACAATCAATTATTTTGACAGTGCAGTGCCTCATGCAGTTCTCAGGTGCTCAGGATGTTCCTTAATTTTGTTTCTAATTTATAACGCTAGGAATCTAACCTACAGGTGAAAATTTTTTTAATGTTTATGACACAATCTTGCAAAGTTACTAAACTTGGCTGACCTGGAATTCACTGTCCTCCTGCCTCAGATTTCAAGAATGTTGAGATTACAGGCATTTGCCATCACAGCCTCCTCCTTGATGTTGTTCTATTTGTTGATGCTATCACATTCAATGCCATGTGAAGACAGTACTTACTAATAATGTTGGTCCTTCCTATACAATGGTCCAATTCTCTTGTTTAAAATTTTTAAAAGTATACCTATTTCTTAACAAAAATAAGCAGCACATTTTCCCCCCACAGAAGAACTCATATCCATCATCCCAAGTCTTTTTCTACTTCTAGATAACTCAAGAAAAAACTTCCTCCTTTCCCCTAATCTTTCCTCTCCTTAATTCTATCACCATACAAAGAAATTATATCTACAGACCTTGGGATCTCAGCACCACCAATTTTATTATTTATTCATTTATTTTTGGTACCGTGGACCAAACTCAGGACCTTGTGCTGGCCAGGCAGGTGCTTATGCCACTGAGCCATCTCCCCAGCCCTTCAACACCACCAATTTAGACAGACCATAATTCGATAAGACAATGCCCATACTTAGATCCAATAGTTAAAGTGAAGGACCAGTATCAGTATCTACTAATTTCTAAATTATAAATAAGCTACACAGCACCACTTTCAAAATTATACATGGCTCACCTATTGCATTTCTCAAAGAGTGTCAATTCATTTTCCTTTCACTTTTCTTCATCTGAGATTTGAAAACAAGACCCTCTATGTTGCCCAAGGTGATCTTAAACTCCTGGGAGTAAGTGATACTTTCACCTCAGCCTCCTGAGTCCTGGGACTACAATTATGCAACATTCTGTCCACTATGACAATTCATTCATATTTGTTGAGGGGGGGACTACTTAGAATTCAGGAAGCCTGAGTTCTAGTCCTACTTCTGCTCGCTATGTGAATTTAACCAAATCATTTAAATTCTCTCAGTCAATTTTTCACCTGTAATAAGGAAAGTAGGTATTGAGGGTGGGAATTCAGTGGGAATGTACTTGCCTAGTATGGATGAGCCTTGAGGTAAATCCCTAGAACAACAACAACAACAACAAAAATGGATTAAAGTGGTCTAGTCTCACAAGTGATTTAACTAGGTCTGGAGCTTCATATAATTAGCAAAAATTCCCTGTCTTTCAGTTCTCATATATTCCTGTAAATATCCTCCTAGGCACACTGTCATGCATAATCTACCAGTCCAAAAAAAAAAAAAAAAAATCCAGTATAGGCCAGGCATGATGGCACACACCTGTAATCCCAAGGCACACACCTCAGCCTCATACACTTGGGAGGCTGAGGTAGAAGGATCACTATGTGTTCAAGGCCAGCATGAGCTACATAATAAGTTCAAGAGCACCCTGAATTATAGAGTGAGACACTGTCTAAATTAATTAATTGATTAATTCTAGTATATTTCTTTCTTCCCCATTTCTAATGCAATTTCATTATTTGTAGAAGAGCAACATTTAACCATAAACCAAGTAAGAAGGTAATTTATAGTACTTTACACATGAAGGTGAAAACCAATTCTGAATACCTTTTGCCAGTTATTTTTAAAAATTAATAGAAGTGATTTTGGTCTCTGCCTCCCTCACTTCATTGTCCTCTTCCTAAAGCGGACTGGCTGATAGCATAAAAAGTGAACATCACTGACCTATGATGTAATTTATTAATTTGTTTGATAAATACCTGAGTGTCCATTTATGTACCAATCACATTAAGCTAAGCACAACGCTTAGAAAAAGGAATTTTTGAGACTGGGCATGGAGGTGCGTGTCTGTAATCCCAGCTCTTGGGAGGCTGAAAACAGGTGCATCACTACAAGTCTACGTAGTGAGACCCTATAGACCCTGTACTAAATACCAAAAAAAAAGGAATTTTTGGACAGGACAGAACTATATAATAGTGCAGATGAACTAGAGTCCTGGGGAATTTAATTACTTCATACTAAGATTTGATGACACTATCACACCTTCACTGATTCTAAAACTTGGCTAGAAAAGAAATCTGAACCAAGTTTCCACAGAATAAATCACCACCACCACCAAACAACCAAAAACTCCTAAATGTTTGTGTCTCTATTCATCAAGGAGGATGGAAACTGGAAAGACAAGTTAGGCTGTCACAGAGACAATGACGAGCAGTGACCACAAACTGTGCACCACCTGAAGGAAAAGCACAGACCCTGGCTACCCATTAGACTACCGCCTAAAGAGTCCTGAACTTCTTCAGGATTCTTACCCTACATACTGATTTACAGAGGATCACCACTTACTCAATTTTTTAGCAGGAAAGAAAGTTCTATAAATCTGATAAATCTAAATTTTATCCTCTAAAATTCTTCTGGCGGGTATTTGGTGAAGAGTCGTGTTTTATTGCACAAGAGGTCGGTCATCCTTGAATTAACTCACTTCTCATTATAATCACAATCTGTGAGACAAGATGTGAAGAGCGCTGGCCACACAGAACTTTGTGCACCTCAGCCCTCGTGCTTCTTAACCAGCGCCCTGGAACTTGAAGGATGAGGGCAAAGTCCGGCATGTGCTAGCAAGGCGTCTTCTACGCGGTTCCAAGCAGCAGGCTGCTTTGTGAAATGCAGCTAGGTGCGCATTCTCTCTTTTTTGGAGCTGGACAATTTCTAAAATTGCAGTAAGGCAGAAAAGGAGAGGGTCGAACGCGGGGTGCAGGGAGAGGGGACGGACCCGGGGACACCAGTGCTGACGGGGCAACCCTGACGAGGCTGCAGAAGCTCGGGCCTCGGAGCGAGGGCTCCCCGGAGCGAGGGGTGGGGGGACGACCCAAGCCAGCAGCGCGGGCCACGGGCGCGACACAGACTCCGCCAAAGCGCCGCGCTCCCCCAAGGTGCCCTGAGACGGAAACCCGGGCCCGCGGTCCCGCACGCCGCCCAGAAGGAGTCTCGCAGGGTACCTGACTGCGGGCGGCCAGTCCACAGCCCCCTCCCGCCGCCCCGGCCGCAGAGGAGGCTACTGCTCCGCAGGACCGCCGCGCTCCACAGCATGGCGCACCTCTCAGACCGCCCGCGCCGCGGCTGAGCGAGCAAATGCGCGGCACTGCGCCTTCCGCCGCGCGGGGCGCTCGCGGGCGCTCAGCTCCGCCCTCCACCGGGCGGGGCTGGACCTGCTGACTTCGCGGGCTCCCTCGTCAGGGTTCTTCCGTGAGGGCCGGGCTGAAGACTGGTGGTCTGGGAAGGCCTTCACTGGGGTCTGGTGTTCGGTGTTTCCTTTATTTTTTTCTCTTCCTTCAGTTAAATCACTCTTCTCCACCGAATTGAGTACCCCATTTATCCCGCCGCCCGTTGCGGAACCTTTATGACCCAGGAACCAATGTGCCAAAGGTTTTGGCGGCCGGAGGACTGTCTGGGTAAAGGACGACCAGTTCTCGCTGGCGGGTCCGTCGTTACAGTTCCGGTAGGAGAACGCGGCGGTGAAGGCCTCGTCTTCGGTTCCTGCCATGCACCGACCGAATTTTCGACCCCCGACTCCTCCTTACCCGGGCCCGGGTGTAGGAGGCTGGGGTAGCGGGAGCAGCTTCCTGGGTACCCCGGGCGGGGGCGGACCGCGGCCGCCCTCCCCTCGGGACGGGTACGGGAGTCCGCACCACACGCCGCCGTGCGGGCCCCGGGCTAGGCCCTACGGAAGCAGCCACTCTCCGCGACACGGCGGCGGCTTCCCGGGGGGCCGGCTCGGGTCTCCGTCCCCTGGCGGCTACCCTGGCTCCTTCTCCAGGTCCCCCGCGGGGTCCCAGCAACAATTCGGCTACTCCCCAGGGCAGCAGCAGACCCACCCCCAGGTAATCATAGCCAGCGTTTGCCGAGCTCTTCCTGTGTGGCAGGCATGGTACTCATACTCCCTTTACGTGGATTATTTTGTTTAATCCTCTCTGAGGTGACTTTCTATTGTTAGCCCTATCTTGCAGGTGAGTCAACTAAGGCTTAGAGAATTTATCTTCTTTACATTTAGTTTACAAAGTGGCAGAGCCGTAGTTCTGTTCTAGCGCCCTGGTGCCTTTGACCAGTGACCTGCCGCTCGTACACAATTCTCCCAAAATCTCTTGTTTCCTCATCTTTTCCAGGGCCTTGTCATTTCGTCTCAGTAAATTATTCTAAGCCCGTGAACTCCTAGAGGAGAAAAATTGAAATGAAACCCCAGAATGTAGTTTCTGTCGATTATAGGCTGTTGCCATTTTCTACAGCAATTACCTGTCTCCTTCCCGCCCTCCCCCCGCCCCTATTTTTTTTAAACCTTTATCTTTATTCCAGCTACATTTCCCTTCGGTACTACAGGAAGTTTTCCATTTCAGTAAGAGTGAACACAAGGCAGAAGGGATAGTTCCAATGTATCTAGGATTTCTTTCGCTAACAATTTGGATCTGCTCACTGTTTTCCAACTTTGCGTGTGCTAAATCATCCCTGCCTCTTTGAGCTTGGAGCTAATAGAAAATTTTCGTGAGATAGAAAGGTTCTAAAAACTTTATATAGAGTTAAAAATAAGTTTTGATTTCCCTCCGGGATAAGAAGTAAGTTTCCAGGGAAAATTGAATATGATTAGTTCATTACATCATTGCTTGTATTTGATTTCACTACTACTTGTGTGCAATAACTGCAGAATAACTACACTAAAAGCTCAAAGAAGAATTTGGAAAAAAAAAATATTTGAGGTAATAGTGGGAATGGAATTAGTTTATTACATCACTGCTTGTATTTGATTTCACTACCACTTCTGTTTGATAACTGCAGAGTAACTACACTGAAAGCTCAAAAAAGAATTTGAAAAAAAAAAAAAAGAAATATTTGAGGTAACAGTGGGAATGGAATAAGCATTTCAAATTGATGTAAGGACTTTTAACAACAAAACACTAGATTAAAGGAAGCATAAACTTTGTGATTGAATGAATGTATCAGTATTAGGATTCAAGAGACAGCTTTTAACCAGCAGTATGATCCTCACTAGTCTTTAACAAAAGGAAAAAGTACCAGTTATTTCTACTATATGTTTTTTTTTAACTGATGATTTTTTTCCTAAAGGGTTCTCCAAGGACATCTACACCATTTGGATCAGGGCGTGTTAGAGAAAAAAGAATGTCTAATGAGTTGGAAAGTTATTTCAAGCCTTCAATGCTTGAAGACCCTTGGGCTGGCCTAGAACCAGTATCTGTAGTGGATATAAGCCAACAATACAGCAATACTCAAACATTCACAGGCAAAAAAGGAAGATACTTTTGTTAACATTTCTGAAATTCACCTGGAAGCTTCATGTGTCAGGAACATCTTGGACAAACTTTTACGTTGTGCATAAGTTGAACCCAAAGATGATGACTTTGAATAATTAGTAAGGTCTTCATATTTTTCATCATATCAAGTGTTAGAGAAGAAGATAGGATAATTTGCAGTATTTAGCTCTCTGGAAGTGCCTACCACATTTAGAAGATTTACAGTTTCCATATATTTAATATTCCTGATTATATAATGAACATTTGTCTTTTAATGTTTTTCCAATGTTTTAAAATAAAACATTTTGTCTTTCTAGCTATATTGTGATTTTCTGGTATAAGTAAAATTACTAAAATAATGCCTTGTTATCACCTAGAATTTGTAAAATGTTTTTGCAAACTACTTTTCAAAATGAAATATACCTCTAGATAAAATGGATGAACCATCTTTTCAGCTAAAGAACTTTTCAGTTCTGTTTGTTCATAAAGGAAGAGACTAACAGAATTCTGTTCATATTTGAAATAACCAATTGTTCTACATACATGTTTTATCTAAAGCTTCTGTAAAAATGCTTTCAGGGTTGATTTTTTTTCAAGTCACAGAAACCCATTTGTCATGAGTTTATACTCATTTAATCAGAAAAGGCAATGATAAAACATGCATAGCTAGATAAGTGTTCTGTTTTAGTTTGTCTGTTTCTCAGAATTGTGGGATTATTTACTGTTGAGGCCAAAAAGATACCTACTAGTTCTGAAATCACTTAGTTGGTCAATCCTAGAGAGGGCAAATCATGTATGCTAAGATGATTCAAGGCAGTGAGGCCAAGTTACAGGGGCTTGAAACATGGGCCTACTATACTGGAGGAAGTTTTGCGATCTTTTAGTTCCACTATAACCATTTGGACTAGGAAAGTGGCTTTCTGAAGAGATGCTAAGAACAGAATAAATTTCTCCAGTTTTCTAAAATCAAGCCTTAAGATACTCTTGTTAGATATTTTAGGCCCACAAAACATGTTTATGGAGCTAGCTAGAATTGTGTTTCAGCGTTCCCAAAAAAGAAATATCTCAACGTGAAATGGTTACACCATCTGTTTGAGACATACCCAATTCTGTTTGTTTAATGAAAGCCAGTTTTGGAAATTCTCTTATCAGTATTACCTATATGAATTAACTATATGATTTTCTCACATGTGGCAATCAATAGTACCTGGCATGTTTGGAAATTAAATGGATTTATATGTGTGAGACTTTTAAAGCTGGTATCTGGGACATAGCACACTCAAATGGTGCTTTATTTATGTGTCTTCAGTTTTTAAAATGGTGCCAGCAAAATAGGCATTAAGTCAATATTTGATGAATGGATACGGAAATTGTGAGTATTACTATATTTCTCTCAGTATTCTACATAGAGTAAAGAGATAGCAGTGATTTTACCCAGTATTTTAAAGGAAAAGTCTTACTGCCTTGGTAGATAATGTTGAGGTCATATAAAATATGAGACATTTAAAGCAAGTAGACTTTTGTAAATTATCTTTTATTAAACTTCATAGGTAAGAAATATCTTCAGAAAATAATACTTGGAGATAATTATTAAATAATTGTTTAGAGATTAGGTTATTCTCAGAGACAGGAAAGTTAGGACACCAGGTATAGTGATACATGCCTGTAATCCAAGCTAATTGGCAGTCAAGGCCAAGAAGATTGCAAGTTCAGGGCAAGCCTGTGTAATTTAGCAAGACCCTACCTCAGAAAATAAAAGGACTTTATGCCAGTGTACTTGCATCTTACTGGGAAAGCAGTCAAATTAATTCACCTAATAGTATATGTGCATGTTATTTTACTGCCTTTGAAATAGTAAAAGTAAAATTTCTAAGTTACCAACACCTGCTTCTTCAGATTTGGCCTTTGATGATTTTTTTAAAAGGAGAAAAAGTATTTTCCCCAGGAAAAATATATTCAGTTTTGGTAGGTTGTCTCTGTGGCATTAGTAACTTGGTTTATTTCCAATTGTTGTTGTTGTTCACCTGAGTGAAAGGAAAGTTTTATTCTTTAAAGTAGAAAGTAAGAGCCAGCTAGATAGCTCATCTGATTAAAGCACCTGCTTAGACAAAAGCCCCGTGGTTCCATCCCTGGCACCACATTTGGCTCCAGCCCCGCCCACAGCATGGTGGTGGTAACAATCAAATACATAAAAAATAAAGTCAGATGTGATTGGATTTTTATTGTTTGAGAATACACATTTTTACATCCATAGAAATACTAAACTTTGTAGAAAAATGTTTCATTAAGAATATATCTTAGAAGGTCAGATGAGGAGGTATTAAACTACAACAGAGTCTTCAAGCAAGGATACTTAGCCTTCTGAGAGATATACAGGCATGGTTACTATTAAGGGAACCCAAGTTTAGATCTTCAATTCCCTTATGAACACTTTGTTAAAATAGATCTACATAAGAACATGCCAACAGTGAAAGAGATTATACCAGTTCTTTTCATAATAGTCTTCCATTTTAGAAAAGAAACTGGTGGCAAGTTGTATTTTCCAAAAATGACCCTAATGTCATTTCAGGTCACACATACTCCCAGGTCTTTGCCACAGCCCTGTCAAGATGTTGTATCCCCTCCATCTGAACCTGAACAAATTTTCCTTACTGCCCTAATTGAGGGATTATGAAGAAAATGAATATAATCTCATTAATAAAATACAGTGTTAGAAATGGATTACCCAGTAGCCAATGAAGAAATGTTCATAATTCAGATGTATTTGTTGAGTAGGGAGATGACTTTGTTTAATGACCTTACCATTTTTGTTTTCTGATAATTTACA